CAGGTTCGTGATGGGGCGCGTCTCGGCGATAGTTGCTGTCCAAGCATTGCCAAGTTCCACTTCGGCAGCCAAGTCGGCCTCCTGGTCCCACTTGGGTAGGCACGAAGTGATGCCTAACGTCATTGCACGTGGCCAGCGGAGCCAAGCATCCTCAACTCCCTTGCGTGTCATCGCGAAAAGGTCACACATGCCCGCCAGCAGCAGGCGCAGTTCGCCGAGGCGCCAACCATCTGCAGCAGCTGCTTGGTTGACCTTCATCTTGCGACATTGCTTCTGGAGACGGTATCCAGTAATATCTTTTTATCTCGCACTGGTGATGCTCGATCTGTTGCCCGAAGCGTTTCTCAAAGGCCTCCCATGACTTGAGTGTGGCCTCATTGAAAATCTTTTCCCATAGTAGACCAACTCGCTTCAGAGTGTCGCTGCGTTTCGTGCAGATGCGATTTGGATCATCGCGCCCCTTGACGGCGTGGATCGTCTGATACTGTCTCTGCTTGATCCAGGCGTAAACTTCTCGGCCACCTGAGTATCAAAGAGACTCGCGTAGCTTCTTTCTGCAGGTGTCTATCCTTGCAAGTTTTCTTTCCTTCGCATGCTTGGCGTGTTTGGCCTCCAGAGAAATAGTCCAGGTACCAACTGTCTCCAATGTAGGTGCGCCATGAGGAAATTCACTGTCAGGAAGGTGTTATTCTCGTTGCAATTGCTTCCGAAGGATGCGCCGCAGGTGCAGCGCCTTCAATTTGCCTTGAAACTCTTTCTGCCCACGATAAAGCTGGAGGCTGAGTTCAGCAAGGCGGCTAATCACATTCTCGAGGCGTCTCAAGGTCATCGCGGTGGGGCCTTCCTTCAACTTATCTCTTCCAGCAGGTGAAGCAGTGGCTTCCCATTGTGCTAGTTCTGGTTCGTGACTACGGCCATGATGCACAGCGCCAAACTTGATTCCCGTGTGTTCCAGCCGTTTCTCAAGGTCATATTTTTCAATTTTTTTACGATAGGGCTCCAGGCATCGTGTGATCGTTCGTCGACAAGGGCTTGCTCGAAGAAGGCGTCGGAGTGCTCGTCGATGCGCCGTCTGCCAAGGGCCTCATTCTCATCCGATGCGATCTTCTTGACACCCTCCGCTGGATAAGCCCGCGGTATTCGTAGACTTTGCCAAGTGACAGTAAGGACATCAACATTAATTCCCAGTTCCAAACCAATATGATTTTTTGATTCCCAAGTCTCGGCGTCGACAAAAAGACTTGAACGCATCCCTGGCAGCGGTATTGACAATCATACGGTCGGGTCGACTGACGTGCTCGCCTTGAGAGAATATGTCCCGCGTCGGGTCCAGGCCGTAGGTTGGTTCTGCTCCAAACATAGCGCCCGCGTCATGCCACCTTCCTGTTGCGAGACCGTGCCGTTGTAGTGTTTGAGTCCATGCACGCGATGATGGCCTGGTCGCCTAAGCTTTCAGCATCCTCGAAGGTGTAGTGGAAGTTTCCATCATTCCGTGTCCTGATCATGTTATCGTAGCCGGCCTCATTGTAGAGGTTGATGAAGTGAATAGGGCGAGATCCGAAGAGAGCGACCACCCGCAGCCAGCGTGTAGTTGCATGCGTCCCCTTAGCGGCGCCATACTTCCTTCCACCAGGCAGCGTCACAAGACTCGTTTTGGCAATCGTAGCTGCACCGCCCTGCGCTGTGCGATGCTGCTTTGAACCATGACATTACTGCGGACGTACAGGGTGCCCGAACATAGCTTCGTATCCGTTGGCGTGGCAGACCTTCGCGCAGCCCTGCAGCTGTTTGAAATCCAACCTCGTTTCTTGCGATAGAAGTAAGTCAGCGTCCATCGTGCCCATGCGGCCGACGAATGAATTCCAAGACGTTACATGTGTTGATATAGCTTTCGCCAAGATAGGGGTCTTGTCAGGAGATGCCGCGGCAGGAAGTGGCGGCTGCTTGCCTCGAAGCCGACGTCCAGACATCATGGCGTTGATTGGAGTGCTAGGGAGGTCTTCAGCTTCTTGGTCGCAACCTCAAGCTCCGCAGCCCCGGGCGCCCGCTGGGACGAAGCACCTGGACTGTGCGCAATCGCCTCCAAGCGTTTGGCGAGACCTTGTCCTTGAAGATGTAGTTGCTCTATGATTGCTTTCTGGTTTCCCGCGGTAGCTGCTTGGATCGGCTCTGTCAAGAACTGGCGAAAGTCTGGTGATAAGCCCGAGCCTGCTGGCTGGCTGAGGCTGCGCTGCACCCTGGTCAGGATCGCTCATCTTCTCATCGCCTGACTCCGCTGGGGGAGGAGCCGTGGGGCGAGTAAGTTGCGCAGTCACACTGGCCTTCTGTGCAGGGGTGGTAGCCGCTAAGCTCGGTCCTGTCGGTGGCGCATACTTTGTAAACATGGCTGCACAGAGGGGGCCTGGACAGTTTCTTCTTTCTTCGTCGTATTCGGATTGATTGTAGCCTGCCTGCCGTCGATGCTGATGTCTCTGCTAGCTGGAGGTGCATCAGCGCGGACTTGGACCACAGGAACACGTCTCTCTTTCCACACCTTTGTGACGAACCGCAAGAAACTCTGCTGTCCATCCCATCTGTGTACCCAATTGCTCCCATCGCGATTTTCCATCAATCAGTGCTGGGAGCGGGCTGATCTCGAACGTGGTCGCGGCGGGGGGGGCGAGATTCTGGATGTGCTGCCGCGCCGCATTCGCCTTCGCCTTCTGTGCGCGGAAAAATAAAGCCAGAGTTTTGAAGGGATATCCAAGTCCACGAGCGCCTTCCAAATTCTTGCTAAGCTCGATCGCCTCCGCGAGGGAGGTATTCTTCATAAAGGGAACGAAGGCCTTTTCCTCCTTTTTCTTCTGCAGAGCCGGACCGTCGCCGCCGATGTTGGAGCGCTGGAAGAAGACGCAGTCAGGGCCTGACGTGCGGCGAAGATGTTCCACGTATGCAGGTGGCAATTGGAGCGGCGCCGAGATGATGCGATGCCCGACCTCGCCCTCATTGAAGACACGCCCGCTGTAGCATTTAATCTCGATGTCCACCACAGGGGGAACCTTTGCTTTCACAGCGCTAGCCGTTTCCTCATCCAGCACGCGCCAGTGAGGAGTGGTATGCTATTTCGTATTTTCCGTAGGGTTCTCGTCTCGCTGATCGCGAGCCGCCCTCGCTTGTTTGTGGCGTTTGTACATGTCTTTGAAGAGCTTCTCCGTGCGGTGTTCCTCGAGGACTGCCGTGCTCATGAGGACCTCGGCTTCGCATTAGATTTTGGTGGGTGTCCGAGTAGGCTGAACAACCGCATTCTGAGACCCACCAAACTGCCATACAAATAGTTTGCGTATTTCTCGTCGGCCATCTTCGTGCACGAGAGGGGCGTCCAGAGGCTTGATAAGTTGAGCAAGGCCGCGTTGAGCATCACGTAGTACCAAATTCTTGGAGATAGTCCAGGAGCCTGAGCCAACGCGGACCCAACCGCATTCTGTGGATCAGGGCGTCGCCACAAGGTGTCATCATTGCATAACTGTTGGAGCTCGGAGGTCGTGACCAGATGAACTCTTTGCGTACCGTCGCAGGTCGCGGGGAGCCCGCGACATGTGGGAATTGACCAGTCAGCATCGTCCAGCTTACTGGTGTGCTGCCAGCCACTCTGGTTACCTTCCGAGCGTGGTTTCTTTTTCTTCTCCTGGGGGATGTCTCACTCGCTGGGGGCTTGGAACCCAGGGGACGTTCCTTCAACCATGCCATAACTGACTTGAAAACTTCGGAGGCATCTAGCTGCGCAGCCTCCGTCATGTTCTCCTTTGAAATACTGCGCAGGTGGTCGTAGATCTGCTGCGCATTCGTTTCCTTTTTCGCCTCCAGGATACCCATCACCCTGACCGAAATGGATGCGGGGGTGGCCAGCTTCGCCATCCTCTTTCTCAAGTTGGCTTTAGCTGCGTTCGCCCCACGGCCTTCAACAGGTCCGCTGCAGTGAAGCGCGTGCTGAAATTTGTTCCAACATTTGTGCGAAATCAACCACACGTAAGTCCATTGCATGCCATGAGACTTGTCATCGTAGATATTCCAATGATGCAGTCTGCCCCAGCAGACTGATACAAAAGTTGGAATTTCCAGAAAAATATTCTTCGTGCTCTTCGCGCCCTCCTCGGAGGACGGCAGGACAACCAAGGCCTCGAAGCTGGAGGCCAGAAGGTCGGGCACTTCCGTGGAGATGACCTCGTACCGCAGCTGCGCGGCCAAGATGATCATCTCCGCCCTGTCACTGGAGTCGCCTGTCTCCATGGTCGAGAAAAGGTTCCAGCAACAGCTGCAGTAATAAGTTTTTTTGCTATAAATATAATCATCGTGGTCTTGCTGGAGATTCCCTTTGGTTCTATGACCATGTGCAACACCTCCACAGGTGGAGGGTGGCTACAGTCGGACCGAGGTGTAAGATCAAGGTCGGTCCAGGGAGGGTATCCAAGTGTTCTTCGTGCTTGTTGGATGCTCTTGTGCATCCCGGGGAAAGTACCCTTGGATGTTCGGTGTGTTTTGGCCAGCGGAGGGCCCCATGTTCTGGAAGAATGTTCTTTTGGCCTAGGTCCGACTGTACTTTTCAAGACGCGGCTCTCGCCTGATCCCTCCTCTCTCCTCGGGGTCGCCAGAGGCTGGCCCTCTGATCCGCGAGGGCCCCGGAGTCCCGGCAGCGGGCCAAACGATCCGCCGTGGCCTTGCCTGGCCAGGGCCTCCGCGGGGGGTGGGGGCCCTGGGCCTGCAGCCGCTTCGCTCCGCTGGCTGGGCGCGCCGCCCCGTCTGGGCGCCCTGCGGATCGCAGCCGGCCTCCGCGCCGCCACCGGCGGCTGCCACGCGCTCGGGCAGCCGCCGGGCTCGACGTCGTGGAGGTGTGGTCGTCGTCGGCGCCCTCGTCGTGGTCGTCGTCGTCGTCGCCGTGGCGGTGGTGGTGGTCGTCGCCTCCGCCGCCGCGCTTCCGCTGCGCCCTCTGCGGCGGCTGGCGGGGGATGCGGCCGGGCCCCGAGGACGGCGGGGCCTGCGAGGTCACCTGCATGCCTGGCTACCGGAGGGGCTGGTGGCGGGCGCGGGCCCAGAGACGCGTCCACCCCCATCCGCCCCCTCGCTCCCGTTCCGTCCCTTTCCGGTTGCCTCTCTCCCCGCTGATGCCGCCCCTCCTTCCTCCTCTTCTCCCTGTCTTTCTCCTCCTCCTCCTCCTCCTCCTCCTTCTCCTCCTCCTCCTCCTCCTCCTCCTCCTCCTCCTCCTCCTCCTCCTCCTCCTCCCCTCCCTCCCTCCCTCCCTCCCTCCCTCCCTCCCTCCCTCCCTTCCTGTCCCTCCCTCCTCGCTGCTACCTGTCCTCCCTTGCTCCCGCCTCGCTGCTCCCTCTCTCCCCCTCCTGCCCACTCTTTCCCCCCTGGACCGGTCTCTGCTCTCCGGGGGTCGGGTCGAGCGGGGCCCAAGCAGCGGCCGGTCCTCGGGGTGTTGTGGCTCCACGTGCGGGAACCGTTTGGCAGCCAAGAGAGCGGGGACACCGTGGGCGGGGGCTTGAGGGCGGGATGCGGCCGTGCAGGATGCTCCCTGATCCGCCGATGTCGTCGGTCCACGTTTTTCGGCGCCTTCCCCGTCGCCTTTCCTGTGGCCGTTCGGACGGGTGTTCGGACCCCTCTTGGGGCCGTCTCGGGGCGGCCTCTGGTTGTCTTCGGGGTCCTCTGGGGCCGTCTGCCGTCTCTGAGGTCTTCCTGGGGCGCTTCTCTTTGAGGCCCTGCCCTGCCTGCGGCAAGTCCCACCGCCGTGACGGCCTAGCACTCTGGGTGGCGACCTGCTCGAAGAGCGCGGAGGGAGGCCAGAGCGTGCGACGCCTCGTGTCCCGAGATTCTTCGTGCTTGTCGTCTTTCTCCCTTCCTCATCTTCCCTCCTCCTCCCTTGCGTCATCTTGGGAGCCTCTTCTGGGACTGCTGGAGACCTCTCTGGGGGGCGTCTCGGGGGCCTCCTTGGGGCCTCTGCGGAGAGGAACGCCGATCACAAACACTTCGGTCTGTTCAGGGAGTGCCAAGCACGGATTGCGACCAAACGACAGGGTCGCAAGGCACACTCTTCCTCCTCCGCCTCCTCCTCCTCCGCCTCCTCCTCCTCCGCCTCCCCCGCCACTTCCTTCTCCGCCTCCGCCTCCGCCTCCGCCTCCTCCTCCTCCGCCTCCGCCTCCGCCTCCGCCTCCGCCTCCGCCTCCATTCCTTCTACTTATAGACAACTTCCCCCTGTCGCACCCCGAGGCCAGTTTTTAGAGCGGGCCGGGCGTTTTGCGGGAGACTTCCTTACCATTACGACTCTGAAGCTTCCAAGTGGCAACAGTTTCACAGATGGAGGGCGGGTGGTTTTCAAAATGTGGTTCTCGCCTTAGCGCCACGCACATTCGTTGAATGAAATGCAAGAGTTTCACGGATTGAAGGCGGGCGGTTTTCACAATGTGGCGGATAGCCGTAAGGTGTGATAGAACTTCTCCGCGTCGTGTCGGGATGGCTCTCTTCGTGCTTGCCGTCTTTCTCCCTTCCTCATCTTCCCTCCTCCTCCCTTGCGTCATATTGGGAGCCTCTTCTGGGACCGCTGGAGACCTCTCTGGGGGGCGTCTCGGGGGCCTCCTTGGGGCCTCTGCGGAGAGGAACACCGATCACAACCACTTCGGTCTGTTCAGGGAGTGCCAAGCACGGATTGCAACCAAACGACAGAGTCGCAAGGCACACTCCTCCTCCTCCGCCTCCTCCGCCTCCTCTGCCTCCTCCGCCTCTTCCTCCTCCTCCTCCTCCTCCACCTCCTCCTCCTCCTCCGCCTCCGCCTCCGCCTCCGCCTCCGCCTCCGCCTCCGCCTCCGCCTCCGCCTCCATTCCTTCTCCTTATAGATAACTTCTCCCTGTCGCACCCCGAGGTCAATGTTTAGGGCGGGCCGGGCGTTTCGCCGGAGACTTCCTTACCATTACGAGTCTGAAGTTTAAAACGTGGCAGCAATTTCACAGATGGAGGGCGGGTGGTTTTCAAAATGTGGTTCTCGCCTTAGCGCCGCGCGCATTTTTTTAAACATTTGGCAGGAGCTTCACGGATTGAGAGGGCGGTTCCTTCTCAAAATGTGGCTCTCGCCTTAGCGCCGCGCACATTCGTTTACACAATTTGCAAGAGTTTCACGGATTCCCATGATCAACATACCAGAAATGGTGTTTTGGCAGGATTCAGGATTATACGGGTGTAGCAATTATGTTGATTCGCGGTGTTATAATCCCAAAATGGGCGCTCTGGCACATTCCGGATCGTCAAGACGCAGCAGTCAGGTTGATACGTGGCGTTGAAAATCCGAGAACAAAGTTCTGGAATGCTTCAAGATCTTCAAACGGTTGTCTTCCAACAAGGCAGTTCCCTCAATGGAAATGAGACGTTGTAGGGGCCTGTGAAGAGGGAGCTCGGAGGGCGGGTTACTTCCAGCATCGTTGATGACCCTTGGGTTTACACTGGTCCTCCTCCTCCTCCTCCTCCTCCTCCTCCTCTTCCTCCCCCTCCTGCAACCGAGGCAGGCCATCACATTACCTCTAGACTGCGGAAAAAAACCCTCGAGCCAGCTGGCCTCTCGAGACCCTGTGCGCGACATGCCTCTCCGCGAGAGCCTCCGTGCAACCAGCCTCTCTCGCGGAGCCTCTGCGCGGCCTCCCTCCCTCTGGGGGCCTCGGGGGGCGGCTTCCCAGGAGAGACTCCTGCGGGAAGCTGCCACGAGTGCTTTTTGGGTGGCTTTGGAGAGGCCGCCAGGATGTAGGCGTTGGTTACTCTGGGTTCCTCCTCCTCCTCCTCCTCCTCCTCCTCCTCCTCCTCCTCCTCCTCCTCCTCTGGGTTTCTTAATCAGCGAGTGGGGTAGTCGGCTGGGGTGACGCCCCCCCGACGCTTATCAAGAAACTCGGAGTGAGGAATGTGCCCAGGAGGCTTCAGACCCTGGGGGATTCCTTATCTGATCAGGGCGACACTGGTGTCCATGGTCAGTTCACGATTGAAATACCACAGCTTCCAGACCCTGGATTCCTTATCCAATGGTTCCTTGTTCAACGCCAGTGCCGTAGGACAAAGAGGTTGATGGGAGCCTCCTGCGAGGGCCCTGAGAGGCTTCTGGTCGCAATTCGCTCGGGTGATGCAGCTGCCGTGGTTGTGTGTTCCCCACACGGTGCTTTCACTTGAAGGTCTTACTTCTCCTCTAAGTAACTGGGCTTGGCAGGCGGTCTGGCGGCTGTGTTGTCGCCGTCGCCGCCCCGTCGCCGCCCGTCGTCTGGGCCTGGCTGGCGGTCTGGCGGCTATGATGTCGCCAGCGCCGCTCCGTCGCCGCCTCGCCGCCGCCCGTTGTCTGGAGCAAAGCTTCTCCTTTCTGAAGAAGTGTGAGGATCTCCCCCCCAGGTTTAACTGCCCCCATTTTCGTATTGCACTTTACATATGGCTCGGCCCCATCGTCCATCCAACATGTGAGTTCGTACCATCCCAGCCAGGCCAGTAACGGTCCCCCCTTCATCCTCGGCAAGGAGTACAATGCGCGCACATTCGTTTATAACAAATCATTAGTTTTCAAGAACCCTTACACCACAAACAAACGACGAAGTGCACACGCGCGCGCGTCGTCGCGCCGCGCGCGTGTGCCGAAATCTGTCAAAAACTTCAGTTTTCGTAAGTATTTCAAAATCGAGTGTCTTGAACACAGAAACACGGTTTGGCAACCAGAATTTTAAAACAAAGCTGGCGTTCGCGTTTTTGCAGATCCTAAGACAATCATCGGATTTCAACATGTTCATATCATGCTGCCAAGCGGGCCTCTCGCACTCGCATGTCGAAATCGCTCGATCGCGCTTGCGCGCGTTCTGTCGCAAGAATCCATTGCAGAACATGGGACGAAGGGCACACGCGCGCGTCGTCGCGCGTGCATGCCGGAATCTTTCAAACAAACATAGGAGACGCACGGATTTCAACAATGAGTGTCCCGAACACATACGTGGGCGTGAATAAAGCTTGACTTCCTTTTGGGCATAGCCGAAGTAACGGCTACCATGCATTCAGATTCCGTTGTGGCATAAGGGGTTGCTGCCATCTGTGTCGTCGAAATGTGGAGCTGGTTGCACTGATGTGCAATCAGTGCTACTTGGGCCCAGCAGCGCCTGAGTCCCCCAGTGACTGTTTTTGTTTCGAACCATATTCTATTGTTTCCAACCGAGTTCGAACCGTCAAGACAGCCATTTTTGTGAGGATGTCCCACGCGGTTTGCCGTTTTCGAACCGCCATCCCGTTTGGCATGATTTAATTTCCCAGGTTGTCTTCCGCCCCGAAAGCGAGGCACATCCCCCGTAACATTGTACCAGACTCCACGTCCCTAACGGGGCGACTAGCGACCTGTGCTCGCATTGCGGACGCAGGATGCACTTTTGCCTACCCGTCAGAATGGGGTAATTTTTCATCACGGCACAGTGTCAAACACATGGTCTTACACTATCAGTTTTCCAAAAAGCCTGCGCGCACGCTCCTGCGAATTCTCCAGAAAAAACAGAGGGATTTCAACATCGTCATCACATTTTGCCAAGAGGGACTCTCGCGCCGCATGTCTAATTCATCCGAACGCCCTTGCGCGCGTGCTGGGGGCGGGGGCACGATCGCTGCTCAGCTTTGGAATCCAAGGCATGTCCTCCTCCTCCTGCTCCCTTTTCTCTACGGTCGTCTCCTCCTGCTCCTCCTCCTCCTCCTCCTCTTTCTGCTCCTCCTCCTCATCCTCCTTGTCCTCGTCCTCCTCGTCCTCGTCCTCCTCCTCCTTCTCCTCCTCCTCCTATTCCTCCTCCTCCTCCCGCCAGCCGCTGGGCTGCCGGGAAGAGCGGGCAGGCTGACCTCGAACACGCTGAAGTGCAACGCGCACCTGCGGGGCCAGCCAAGCGCCTCGAGCATCGGCTTCTTCACGGGGGAGGCGAGCCACCACCGCCGTTGCCGCCGCCGAAGACACCGTCGCCGTCGCCTTCGCCGCCCTGTCGAGGGAGGCGCGAGGCCAGGCCGAAAGTGGCCTGGAATCGGTCCGAGCCGTGGCCTGATTGAGGTGGAGAAGGGGGAGGAGGAGGAGGAGGAGGAGGAGGAGGAGGAGGAGGAGGAGGAGGAGGAGGAGGAGGAGGAGGAGGAGGAGTAAGAAGAAAACTAAGAAGAATAATAAGAAGACGAAGAAGCATAATAATAATGATAATAATAATACTAATAAGAAGACTACTAAGACGAAGAAGAAGAGGAGGAGGAGGAGGAGGAGGAGGATCAGGAGGAGGAAGGAGGAGGATGAGGAGGAGGAGGAGGAGGAGCAGAAGGAGGAGGAGGAGGATCAGGAGGAGGAGGAGGGCGAGGAGGAGGAGGAGGACGAGAAGGAGGACGAGGAGAAGGAGGAGAATGAGTCGGAAGAGGATGATGATGTTGCTGCTGCTGCTGATAATGATGCTGCTGCTAATAATGATGATGCTGATGCTGCTGATGATGATGCTGATGATTACGCTGCTGCTGATGATGGTGATACTGACGATGATGCTGATGATGCTGCTGCTGATGATGATTAGGACGCGGATGCTGATGCTGATGCTGATGATGAGGATGCTGATAAGGATGTTGATGCATGATGATGCTGCTGATGATGATGAGGATGATGGTGATGCTGATGATGATGCTGATGCTGCTGCTGCTGATGATGATGATCATGGTGCTGCTGCTGATGATGATGCTGCTGCTGATGATGATAAGGAGGA